GGTTCAAAGAGAACCAAAATCAACGAAATTGGTGGATATTCATCAGGTTCAAATCCTCCAACACCACAAAATGACATTTTTTATGAATCACATCTTATTCGTTCCCATGATGTCAAAGCTTGCAAAAATAAGGGAAAACGAGTACAAAAGCAAGATTCAAAATATATTTTTTATGAGGATTTTGAAAAGATGAAAACTCAAAATGCAAAAGTTATAAAACATTTTGGTCGTATTACTGATACGAGAGAAGACAAAATGAAGAAGAATATTGATCTTATCCAAACAAAAAAGTTTGAAATATTTAATATATTGTTGGCAAGAGGTGAAAATTTGGATGCGGGAGAGAAAAAATTGAAAACCAAATTATCTGACGAATTGTTTAATTAACTATTTAATTATCTATATTGTTATATTCATTGCTTTTAGTAGTCTATTTTCTAAGTTATTATGTATGTTGCCAAAGAATTTGAATTTTTTTTTTTTTATTTTTTTAAAATTCAACGTGTGGATGACCTGAACCAAAAGAACGTGGCCAACTTTTTCCGCACAATTATTAATTATTGCTATAGGTAATAATTACAACCAAAATTGCGGAAATATGAATGTGTTATTGTGAGTTTGAAAAAAAAAATAGATTTGATATTAATATAATATTTGATAAAATTTTATAAGAGAAAATATATATATTATATTCGAGTTTTTTTATCGGTTCCAATAAAGATAATTTTTTTGGATTTTTTTATAGTAAATTTATTTATTTTAAATATATTTAACAAATATAAATCAATTTAATCAAATGTTAACTTCTTACATTTAAAATCCACTCAAAACCCTCTTATTATTTATCTTCTCAATATACAAATTTATATATATATATTTAAGACTACTCATTTTTATAAAATTAATTTTAAATTAATTATAAATATATACATATATTTTAATTTACTTGCATTATACTCCTTCATTCTCATAGTAAATGATATAATTTTTGTTTTAGTATATCCTATAACAAATGATATTTTTTATATTTGATAAGTTTTATTAATTTAATACATACTTAAAAAATTAAATAAAATAAAATAAAACTTAATTCATTTTATAGACCCACTCAAAACCTCTTTATTTCTATCTCTTTTCAATGGCGGCCGCTACAGTGCTGAATTTAAAATTCAGTTAAATTCAGCACTGTCCTAAACAATAAATAGTTTACTATTTGACAACACATAATATTACTGCAAACAACACACTGTATATGTTAATATAATACAAATACAACACATGAACAAAACACACATGTTATAGTCTCAACAGCACAATATTAATACAGACAGCACACAGTATTACTACAGACAACATATTGTATATGTTAATATAATACAAATACATGACATGAATTAACAGTACATATTGTAGTCTCATACAACACACGCAACAATTGATTTTAACACATTACATACTTGTATACAACACAGTTGTTATTATACATAGCATGTGTTGTATGTAATACTAATATGTACTGTTTGCATATATGACGTGTGCTGATGTGATTTTTCAAATCAGCACCGTAACCATCACATCCTCAATAAACAAATATGTTTATCTACTTTTAAAATTCTTCATCTTTTATAAGAATTAATTTATGTTAGTTGTAAATAAATAAATAATTTTTTTTTTTATTTTTTTGTATTATATAAAATTTTATTCTCTATAAATATCTATATTGCATATATTTTATTAACATATAAATTTAAGATATTTAAATACATATTTTAAATTTATTTATCATATATATATTATTTTTAATTTTAAAATTACTAATAATACTTTATATATAAAAATAATAAAATAATATCATAACTCACTATTATTAACGAATTAAATATAATTGTCTTAAAAATCATGCCCCTAATCAAATGTATCATTTACAATAGGACGAAAGGAGTAGAAAAATATTATTATCTACAAAAATAATATTCATATTATATATATTTTATTGAGATATAATTTTAAAAATACTTAAAATATCAACACTACTTGTATAAAAGAAACACGTCTATTGTTTGTTCACTTTTTTTTTTTTTATAAATTTGTTTTTCATGTTAAATACGAGAATTATGTTGATAATATAAAAAATAATTTTTTATATTAATTTTTTAAAAAATAAATAAGTATATATATTATACTTCTTTCGTCTCATCTTAATTGACACGTTTTTCATTTTTTGTCTCGTAACAATTGACACAATTTGATTTTGATTAAAATTTACTAAATAAAAATATATTTAAGAAATATAAATCAATTTAATTAACTATATCTATAGTATCATACATCATAGAAGAGAGTACGTTGGAGGTAAGATAATTGAACCTTATAACATCATCCATTATGTATGATTCACTCAAAAGTCAAAAGCCTCTTTATTTCTATCTTCTAAAAGAATAAATATTTTTTTAAAATAAATAAATAAATAAATATTTTTATCTACATATAAAATTTCATATCTTTTGTAAAATTACTTTATATTAATTATAAATAACTAAACACATTTTGTTATTTACTTGTATTATAAAAAAAAAAAATTATTCTCTACCAAATAATATTTATGTTGAATGTATTTTTTATTGTAATATATTATTTTTTAATATTTAAATACATATTATAAATTTTTTAATCTTATACATTAATATATTTTAAAACTAAAATATTATTTATTACATAAAAATATCCGAATAATATCCTAATATACTATTAGCAATTAATTAAATATTTTTACATTAAATACCATGTTATTAATGAAAATGATCGATTAAACCGAAACAGAGAGAATACTTATTTTGTTATATACATACTATATATATTCTTTTATAAAATTTAAATATATATATATATATGTCATTTGTATTTTACAATAGGAACAAGACAATTGATAATTTAGGAATGTGAGGAGCCGAATTTTATATGGCAAATGGATCTGGAGGAATTTAGGTTGCATTTAATTTTAGGTTGAATTTATAGTTGGAAGTTTGATTTTATATCCACTATACATCCTTTTTTTTTTTCAAAAAATATTAAATCAAACACCTATTTTTTATATTTTATATTTTGGAGATTTTGGATTTTGAGTTGGAATTTGAATAGTAAAAATTTTGAATTTAAACAGTTGTACGATGAGATATAAATAGGTAGTTATGTGATGTTTTGAATGTAAAATTGATTTTTAGTATAATATAAAAAATAAAAAATAGGTGTTTGATTTGATATTTTTGGGGGAAAAAAATTGGATAATTGTGTAAATCCAATCCAATCCCCCAAACAAACATACCCTAAAAATCAATTTTACATTCAAAACATCACATCACACCTATTTATATCACATCATACAACTATTCAAATTCAAATTTTTTACTGTTCAAATCTCAACTCAAATCCAAATCCCCAAACAAACATACCCTTAGATGCTTTCATATCATAACTTGTCTCATTACAAAATAATTATTTTAAAAATATCAGATTTTTTTACAAATACTTTTATTTTATTATCACATCGTTAATTTTAAATCAAATAAATAAGGTCAAAATTATTTTTATACTATTTTTAATAATTATTATAATTAAAATATTGTTATTTTTAAAATTATGGGCCAAAAATAAAAATAAATTTGAAAAAACATTTGCAATCTACAATAGACTTATACTCCCTCCGTCCCTTATCTATCTATCCGTTTATTTTTTGCACGGAGTTTTAGGAATATTAATATTATATTAAAATGTGGTATGAATAAAGTAGAAAAAAAATAATCTTATTCGTATTGTGTGATATAAAGGTAATGACATTCGTGTAATATCTTGTAAGTTGTAAAAATATTTTTAATGTTAGTAGAAAGTACAATTAGTAAAACAAAATGAATACTTTATTATGAGACGGATCGAAATAAAAAAAAAAAGAATAGATAGATTGTTAAGAGAATGAGTGAATATTTGTTAAAAAAATATATTCCATTTGTTCCGTCTAATTACGCTTTTTTTTTTAGTTGTTCCATCCAACTACGTCATTTCTAAAAAATATAAAATTAATACATTTTAATAATAATTAAATTTTAATTAATTCAAATTAATCTATTTAATATTTTATTCATAATTTTCAACAATTTTTTTAATTATGTTTAATTAAAATGAATAAAAATAAACATGACTAAAAAATTTGAAAACTTGATTCAAGCATGATATGAAAAATCGGACTTAACGGATTGGGGAAACTTTCAGATTGGCTAAGTCTACCGTCTTTACTTGGCTATGAACGACTCAGACTATCTAACAGCTTCCAAGCAAACTCTAAACTAATTAATCGAACAATTTAAAATCTAACTTTACACTTCGATTCACAAAAATAAAAATAAATATATATATATATATATTAAAATCTCTTACGCACTTGATTTTAATGTCATATAAAAACCAAATTTTTTTCAAATTCATAAAACCTTGATTTTGAAATTTTTAAAGGAACTATTTATCGAATGAAATGTACTCCCTCCCTCCCACGTAATAATAAGTAGATATATGAATGTAGTTAAAGTATCATTAGCAAGTAATTAAGAAGTATATTAGTAAAAATAATTATTGTTTAATAAAAATAATTATAGATTAAGATTAAAATAACTAAATAGTTTAACTAAGATTAAAAAAATTATAAAATTTAAAATTTAAAATACGATTAAAGTGTATAATTATATTTCAAATAAATAAACTATAAATGATGTGGAACGGACATTAATAAAAAATAAGAACAAATTATATGAGACAGATGGAATGGAGTATATGACTTCTTTGCCCCTAGATAATACCTCCAAAATTGAACAAGGTGATAAGGATTAAGAAAGAAAATTACCGACACGTGGCTTATTATCATTCGCCGGAAGAAAGCAAAAGAGATTTTAGGCGCGCGATTATATTTTTAACGGAAATAACGAACGAAAAAAATAAAAGAAAAATAAATATAATCTGAATTTACAGTTCCGCTGAAGATAAGATATTTTTGGGAACTCCAAAACCCTTCAAATCTCCATGGCAGCTGGAGCTTAAACCCTTTCCTTTTCCTCGTCGTTTGAAGCGAGCCTTGATTTTGATTTTGGGGTTCGATGCCCGCGGGAATAGATTGGAATTGAAATCCATTTTGATTTCCGCAGATGAATTTGTCGGCGAGTTTTGGGAGGAATTTTGTTATTCCGGCACCGCGGTGTCATTCCTGCAGCCACATTCGCTTAACTTCCCGGACGGTTGGGGGATGGAAGTCTGGCTCTGTTCCATTTTGGAGGTAACCGTCGGTTAGAGTTTAGTTTGGTGTTGGAGGTTGTGGATCGGAAGAAATTTAGGTTTATAACTGAGTTTTTGTACAATTTTAGGAGATTTTATGTCTGCTTGATGTTGGATTCTGGTGTTTTTTAGGGAGGATTTGAAGGTTGTTTGCAAATTGAGTGAGATGGAAACTGAGCCTGAGGATAATAATGAGGTATTACTGTGCATTTTATTTTGTGCAGCGTTGTGTTATCTGTTCTTATATTTAGCTAAGAATTTTGTTGCATCTTGAAAGGAAGGAAAATTAAATGGAGACAAGGAAGGATTTGTGTCTAGTGATTCGATTTCAGGAAGCACATTGGGCGAAGATTCTCAAAATGTGGTTAGTAAGTTGTAATTAGTCTTGAGTGTTAAAATATCGGTGTTTCTTCATTTTTTTTTTTTTTTCTTAATGTGTTGTGTTTTACCATGTCAGGAATAGTTTGTTGTAGTTAATGATGCGCTGGTAAATGTCCTAGGGTACGGAACAATCCGACGAATCAGAAATGGTCGAGACTAAAAGCCTGATAAACGGTGATAGTGATGGAGTGAGTGATGCTCAAGCTAAAATCGCGGTACTTAAGCATCTGCCGTTGTCAGCTTTGCTATCTTTTCCCAACATTTTTATTATGCCTGCGTTGAATTTTTTGCATGCCACGACTTTTGTATGATTACGATATGATATTATATATTGTAGTATTTCAGTGGACATGATATTTGTAGTTAGCAGACAAAAATGTGGTTGGGAATGTAGAATCTCACAGAAAAACTCCATTGAAAATTTAAAAGGAATATACATAGCATGTATGTATCGATTGTGTTAGATCCCTTTCCTTGCTAGTTTCCTTCTAAATTCGTTTTTTTTTACCCGACTTTGTATGATAAAACAGGATGTTATTGATGTGGAAGTTGCTAGCGGTTCGCCTCTCCCAGGTGTGAAGGTGATGAAAAATTAAGTTCATTGTTAGTTGTTCATTCTCCGAGGTCAGATCCATCTCTGCTGACAATTTTTCGTTTCTATGAACAACACAGCAACAATTTGATGAATCACTAAGGATTCCGAAGGAGACAATTGATATTCTGAAGGATCAAGTATTTGGTTTTGACACATTCTTTGTGACCAGCCAAGAACCTTATGAAGTGAGTTTGCAAGATCATAACTTCATTCATTTAATTATATAAATCAACACCCGAATAAACGAAAGAAAAGCCAGAAGAGCTTTCAGTGGAATGGTACCAAGCTTTGGTACGAAAGCCATGTAATTAAAATATAAATGTACATTTTTTTACAGGGTGGGGTACTATTCAAGGGCAACCTACGAGGTCAAGCCGCAAAAAGTTATGAGAAAATAGAGCGGAGAATGGAGGTATTGTTTCTGCATCTTCTATGTGTTGAACAGTTTGAGATATGGCTGTATTACTCTTTATATAACTTCACAAATTATGCACAGGCCAAGTTTGGAGATCTATATAAAATCTTCCTTCTAATTAATCCAGAAGACGATAAACCTGTAGCCGTTGTGGTGCCAAGGAAGACACTGCAGCCTGAAACAACCGGTATTTCTTTACTTTTTCTATCTGAACACTTATATATATATGTATATATATTCTTTTCCGTAAGTAATCCAATTATTGCAAAGATAGTAGCTAATCACTTGTCAAATGCAGCTGTTCCGGAATGGTTTGCTGCAGGGGCCTTCGGTTTGGTCACTATATTTACCCTTCTTCTTCGAAATGTGCCTGTATTGCAAGCGAATATATTGTAAGCCCTTTTCTAATTGTGTATGCAATCTATCATATTGATGAATGTTTTTCCACATGAATTCAATGTGTCACCATTTCTTTCGTTTAATTGAAAGATTTGTATCATGAAATATGCCATTGTAATATTGTATGAGTCAATACTTTCTATCTGCTAATTCCCTTCATGTTCTGTTGCTATTATTGTAGATATTTCGATTCTTTTCTACTTAGACATTGTGGCATGCTATATTGCTGAACATTTGTCAACTTATTTCTTTCTAATTTTGTTTCTTCAAGCTGCATCATATATATTTTTACTTGTTGTCATCAACCATGTTTTAGTTGTTCATGCTAATCGATCTCTCTTCTGCAGATCAGTTTTCGACAATCTCGACTTGTTAAAAGATGGCCTTCCTGGAGCTCTCGTAACTGCACTTATTTTGGGTGCACACGAACTCAGCCACATTCTTGTTGCAAAAGAAGATGGGATAAAGCTGGGAGTGCCTTATTTTGTTCCTAGTTGGCAGGTGTGATGTTTTCGCCATTTTGAATTATTAAGAAGAAATATTGAAGGATTAAGATGTGAAGCGACAAATCATGCTGTCGTACGACTAAAATTCGAACAAAGGATTAACAACAAATCATGTCCTATATCGGATTGCCTGTAGCCTATCTATGCATATTTTGTTTGTATTTGTAGTTCCTTCTTACACGATCTTCAAATGGCAGATAGGCTCATTTGGAGCTATAACGAGGATCATAAACATCGTACCAAGGCGCGAGAACCTCTTAAAAGTTGCAGCTGCTGGCCCCTTGGCAGGCTTCGCTTCAGGCATCGTACTTTTGCTTCTCGGCTTTATCCTGCCCCCATCCGATCAGCTCGGCATTATTGTGGATCCTTCAGTATTTCATGAATCACTCCTTGTTGGTGGAATAGGTAATAAATAAAAGACAAAATTGTCTATAACTTCTTTGTGGTTTCGAAACTTAGCGTAAATCTCTCTGTACTTTAAAAATTGTTGAGCGTTCCCTTATACTTTAAAAAATGATGCATTAAACTTTTTTTTATATTTTTTTTATGTGATGACAACATGATTTTCTATCAATATCTTTTGCATTGCGGGAGATTTCATGCAATTTTTAAAACATAAGGAGAATATGCTGAATGTCGAAACTATATAAAAGTTATGAACAATTTTACCTAAATCAAACACCATCTCTGCATCTTTTTCTTCATCTTCAGCTAGAACTGAAATTTCTTGCACAGCTAAGCTACTTCTTGGAGATGCTCTCAAGGAAGGCACAAGTTTGGCAATAAATCCGCTCATACTATGGGCATGGGCCGGACTTCTAATCAACGCCATCAACAGCATTCCTGCAGGCGAGACCGATGGGGGCCGGATTTCCTTCGCCTTGTGGGGGAGAAAGGTACAAATGAATCAATAGAGAATATTGCAATAAATATCTTGTACCTATGATCTATTATCACTTTTGCTTTTTAATTATCACTCTGGCAAAATATATCCTATAGGTGTCATTTTTTCGCAATTTTCATCCTCTGTAGCACTATTCCACTCGCACCGACAACATTTTGAACTCGATGCGCGGCTAGAGGACAAACATCGCAAAAAAAAAATGACATATGTAGGATGTATTTTGCCATAATGACAATTAAAATAGATTGTATTTTGTCATGGTGACAATTAAAGAATAAGAATGATAATTGACTATAAGTACGAGACATTTATTGCAATTTTTCCTGAATCAATATATATACACATAACATATCCAACCCTTTATATAAGGCCAATTAGCAAGAACAGCACTACAAACACCAATTTGGCAGGTTTCCTCCCGGCTAACCGGCGCCTCCATTGCGCTGCTCGGCGTGGCTTCCTTGTTTAATGACGTTGCGTTCTACTGGGTTGTTCTTATATTCTTCTTGCAACGGGGACCTGTAGCGCCGCTGTCGGAGGAAGTGACGGATCCTGGTGATAAGTACAAAGCCATTGGAGTGGTGGTCTTGCTTCTGGGACTCCTGGTATGCCTTCCCTATCCTTTCCTTTTTGCTACAGATGTCCCAAGTTTTTAGCTATAGTAATATTTTATGGAATACATATGTATAGCCTTGTTTGATGCTCTGCCTAAGTTGTCTGAGTGATCCATTCAAGTTTGGTTCTTTTTTTTTTTTTTGTCTTTCCTGTGAGGAATAGTATTGAATAAACAAGTTGCTCAGCTCATCTTCTTGCTCTGCTGACGATTTGATCGATCACAGAAACATCCCTCCAAACATCGTAATTTTTTCGTCCGTCAAATTTACTTTAACTTTCTTTTTTTAGTCTGTCCGTTAAATTTACCTAACTGCTAGTTGTGGCAAAGTTAACAAATCAAATATTTAACTGTTTTTATTACGTTCTTTCTTCATGTTTTTTAATTCTAGCTAAATTTTCAAAAATATTCCACCTACCTTTTTACTTTTATTAGCTTTTCAATAAAATATTTGTTGTTTTTAATCTTCGTGTTGGATAAAAATATTCTAATTTTACGGAAGAAGTATAAAATAGAGTAAAAAAAAAAAAAAGTGAAGTGGAAGTATAAAAGTGGATTAGTAAAAAATAGAGGTAATATGAGAAATTTATTAAAAATTAATTAAAAAATAGTAAAATAAGTATAAAAAATATTGACAAATTGATTATTATTTGTTAAAATAAAAAATTATAAAAAGATACTTCATTCGTCACGCTCTAAGATCTCATTTATATTTTGCATCATTATATTTAATATTAAAAATAATTTTATATTCGTATGATTTTTTACACAAATGTCATTAAAATAGTATTATAAGACACTAATAAAAGTATTTTTTAAAACGGGACTTTTAGTATATTTTAGATTGGGTATAAATTTAATAGATAACTGAAAGAGAAAACAAAGAGAATTTAGGGTGTGTTTGTTTGGGAGACTTTCTCAAACTTCCACTGTTCATCAAAATGTTTTCTCCAAAAAATATCAAATCAAACACTTTTTTTCAAAAAATTAATTTTATATTCAAAATATCGTATCAACACCTATTTATATCACATCATACAACTATTCAAATTCAAATATTTTACAATTCAAACGCACCCTTAAGTTAATTCATATTATGTATTCATATCATGCCATCCGACAATATAGACTATTACCATATGCTATCAATTTGTATTTCGATTAGGGTTAAACAGCACCGAACTACTGTCCATGCAATGGGCAGGGCGTTCTCACCTTATATTCCCGACAAATTTTTTTATACAAAACGGGTATTAACACGAGTTCACAACAAACAACACATAATGTTCGGGAATACTATCGATCTAGGTAGAGTCGAGATGTAGGAAGAATTGTTTTGCTAAGGCTATGAACTGTATACCCTGTCCTCCCTCAGCTTTTGATATACACAGCAGCAATGGCGACAGTCTGTTGTCTCGTCCTATAGGATAACCAATTCAACCCGCGGAGGCTTCTTTGCTTCGAGCTGTTTCTTGGCGCGCTTACGCGCAGATTCCTGTTTCTTGATTTGGTCGGACAGCACCGGCAATCTCTCTAGGATTTGGTTGCGCGGATCGATTATGACTTTTTTGAGGGAAGCGGCGTTCTCAAAGAAGTATACCACGATCTCGTCATCACTCACCCGGCCATAATACCCGACAATCTCGACCAAGTTGAGGTGTTTATGGTCACATCCAGCAGCTCGCCTTATTTTTCTTCTTCTCTTCGATGGCAACATCCATATTAGCTGTTTGCCAAAGGCTCGGAGATGTTAGAACGATATAGAAAGAATATATAAATCCGTTTGACGGATTTTATTTTCCTCCTAAAAACATCAAATCAAATGCCTATTTTTCATTTTTTATATTATACAATTAAAAATTAATTTTACATTCAAAACATCATATATTCAAATATTTTACAATTCAAATTCCAAACCTCTGAACAAACACACCCTAAAATTTGTCGAATAATGAAAGAGTATCCTCATTTCAATGGTTTAGAACTGTTTCTTAAGCTAAAAAGGAGTAATTTTTTTGCGCATCCAACATTAGAGACAAAACTCGGCTAACAAGCTTAACAAAAAAAACTCGAAATCAAGACATTGAATAGCTCTTACAATGTTCTACGGTTCCCTAATGTTCATGAACATGCAAACAACTGGTATTTGATTTAGTGTGGCGCAAAAACATTGTGGGATGCATAAAAAAGCCGACATCTATGAACAACGAGTATAAATATACCAACACATTAAACCGACAACCCAAAAAAGAAACGTAACTAATACCTGCAACACGAATCTGTTCAAATTCGGGCACGCTTTTACCAAGGATGTAAACTCGAGGAGACTGTCGTCGTTCCATGCGCCAACTTTAAGAATCAGCTGCTTTAAGTTTGGAAGCTCCGGGAACACGTACTTCATTAAGTTTTCCTAGAGAAAAGATGACCGAGCAATCGTTATAATATTACATATATTTGCATGAAAGCAAGAAAGGTAACCGGAGGGCTTACATCGGGACGATATATATCCAAAGTGAAAACCTCTAATTGGTAAAGACAACACGAGAGTTGGCCGAAGACATTGTTTTCGAGCCCCGAATATCCCTCGCCAATCGAGATCTCGTCAAGTGCGGGAACATTATCCAAAACTAGATTGATTCCGGGACCCAAATAAGTAAACGAGACGAGCTTAACGTTAGAGATTTCTATGGTATTAATCCCCAAACAAAAAACGATCTCGAGGTGCTTCAACCTAAGCGACAAGCCGCTCACTTTAACGTTCTTCAAATTCCCCGAACCATGTACAGATAAATAGTGCAAAACCGAACAATTCGACAGAATGCCACCCAACGACTGCTCAGTCAAGTTCACGCACTTCAACGTTAGAGCTTTAAGAAACTTCAAACCCGTCGGGATAAAACCCGTAAGCCCCTTCTTCGCGGACAACACTTTTCTACGACCAAAATGGTTGTTGAGAAAGCTATAGTTGCGGATTGGCAAGCGTAGAGTGTCACCATTCTCCAACAAATCCAGCTCGAGATTCTCAACTCTTTTCCTGATTGCAAACTTCACCCAATTTTCGATAGCACATTTCGATCCCTTGTCCAAATCGAAGCAAATCCGGACAGTATTCAATGTCTTCCTCTGATGCTGCCTCACGACACGGTTAACCCAATTTATGTATGTTGTTCGCTCGGATCTACGTAGCTTCGTATCCGCGGCAACTCTATCCAATGCGTCGTCAGCGTCAAAGTCTAACCCCCCTACATGAGTCCACAAGTACCTCCACCTCCTCGACAAAACGCTTGTGATCACAGCCTCCTTGAGTGTCAGCCGAGACAAGATCGATACGAGGATGTCGTCGGGCAATATATCGATGTAATCCCGAGGATCCGTCTCGCCCTTTTTGACACCAATCAATGAAGAGCAATGTGAAACAGAGCATATGATCAAAAATTTCACAGAATATCTTACCACATTTAAACAAATTCAGAGATTTACTTACCACATTTAAGCAATTGCACAGAATTGCTTACACATTTTTAAACAATTTCAGAGAAGTTCTTACCACATTCAATCAATTTCACAGAATTTCTTACCACATTTAAAACAATTTCAGAAAATTGCTTACACATTTAAACAATTTCAGAGAATTCCTTACCACATTCAATCTCACCACAGAAAAATATACAAATGCATCTTTAATTCTAACGGATCATTTATGAATCCCTAAACCAAATTGATTTTCGTTTTTTTTTTTTTTTATATTTTTGCCCTAGCAATTCAATTTCTGCGCAGCAATTCCATCGACATCATAAGAACACACAATAATCCTCACGGAAAATCACAAAAACCACAAACATACGAAGACAATTATCGCTACGAAATTTAGAAAAACAAAAAAGAAAAAAATCAGTGAACCGTCGCGGATATAGGCAAACCTTTGGTTCGAGATTTCGAACTCTTTTCTTCATTGGAATCCGATGCTGTTATGTATATATACACACACACACAAATATATAATTTTAACCTCCGAATTTAACTCGACCTCCGGACTGCGTAAGAATCGAAGGCCATTATTACCGTGCACAACAAATTCACCCTCGATTACACACACACACACGCACACGCAGGCATATCTATATATATATATATATATATATGTATGTAAATTATATACAATTCGAGTGTAGATTTTCGAATGTGTATGAGGGAGAGAGAGAGAGAACTGATGAGCGGAAGTGAAGTTGAAGGAGAAAAAGACTAAGCTACAAAGGGTTTGTTTGTTTAGGGTAATGTTTATTTGGGCTAAGTTTCCGAAACTTTTATTTGAGTTCGAATTTTAGGATAAATTTGGATTTGAATAGGTATTGTTTCGATATGTATTGATTAGGATACTAGCGTTGTTTTGATGAGTATTGATATGATATGTAATTATTGTATTTGTATAAATATATATTTATTTTTTTTAGTTACATCTTAAAATTTATAATTTATATATTTTTATTTTAAATAAATTATTTAATTATTTTAATTTTAATTTATAATTTATAATTTTTTTATTACATTAAAATTATTTTACTAATAAAAATTTTATTTATTTAATAATTACATAATATTTAAAACTCATGTCTCAACTAAATAGACAAAAACATCTTTTTTCAAACATTACAAATATATATTTCCTTCGTCCCATTATTAAATATTTATTTAATTTTTGCACGTAATTTTAGAAATATTAGTATATTATATTTAGATATAATAGGAATAACGTATAAATAATTAAAAATAACATTATTAGTATGTGTGATATAAAAGTAACGATATTTGTGTAATAATTGTAAATTGTAAGCGTATTTGTAATGTTAGACAGTACAGTTAGGAAATGAATAAACGGACTAAAATGAAAAAATAAATATTTTGTTATGAGACGGATATAGAATAAATAATAATATATTATTTTTTTATTATTCAAATATCAAATTTTTAGAGTTTGAATTTTGCATTAAAGGATTTTTTTTATTTTTCTTACAAAACACATATCATATATTATTTTAATACCAAATTCACATAATTTTTTTTCCAAAACTTCATAAAAAAACACACTCTAAATAATATATATTAAATATTTTTATTAAAAAATAAAATACAAATGCAAAAATAAAAATAAAAATTAAAAAAGAAATCCGAAAAACAACAAAGCTAGTATGACAGGTGTCAGAGGTTGTTTCAATAACCTTAGGTCATCCGCATAAATGAAACCAATATAGATTTCTTCCCTCCTTGACTCTCTTTTCTTCAACGTCATATTCTCTCTCTGCCATGTCATCAAAGAACTCATTTCATTTTATACCTTCATCAAAGAAATTCATTTACACAAATTTTAATTTCTCTTTTCTCCATATTATTAAATTATCTATTTTTAAAATAATTTAAATAATAATATTTTTTTATCTAATATACATATTTATTAATATTTATTTATTTAATAATTTAATTTATAAACAATAACAAATATTTATTATTAATGTGAAGTGAAAATTTAATTTTATGGTACAATTTTTGGATTTATGTGTCTTTAGAAAAATAAAATAAATTCTATTGATTTGATATTGCAATGATAAATATAAGAATTAAGTAAAAAATTAGTACAATAATCAATTCAAAAAAATTAATGTGATGTGAAAATTCAATTATATATTAAGTAATTATATATATATTAATTATTTGTGTAATTTAATGAATAAATTATAAGATAATTAGAAAATTAAATTTTTATTATTATTAATTAATTATATTTAATTAAAATTTTATTAAACAAAAATATATCAATATTGGTATCATTTTGTAATAAATAAAATTTTATAAAATATAAAAATTACTAATAAATATATATAATAAAAATATAATGTACAAAAAATAACTAAAAAGAATATTTTTTTTTTGTCATATGTTATTGAAACACATGGCAAGAATACACCTATATCATAGTTTCGTAGATTGCTGCAGCAGCAACCAGCTCTACATGCTGGCAGTAAAAAAAATTGATTTTTAATTATTATTATTATTATTTTTTATCCGACGTAATGTGGATGGCCTTAGACCATTTACAATGCAATATAGGTAACAATTGTTCTTATATTTTCTCTTACTGTAGAACACACTAAAAACTAATTTGATTCTTTCATTCACATTGTAGAATTCGTTCTTAAAATTTACTCATTAGCTTTACATAATTTGTTCTCATTTTTTACTTTTATCCGTCCCACATAATTTGTCATTTTCTTTTTGAAAAATTAATTATACACTTTTTAATCATATTTTAAATTTTAAAATTTATTTTTTTATTTTAATTATATTATTTAGTTATTTTAATCTTAATCTATAATTATTTTTACTAAATAATAATTACTTTTATAAATATACTTCTTAATTACTTATTAGTTATATTTTACCTAAATTTTCATATCTACAATAATGCGCCATTATCTAGGACGGAGGAAATATCTCTTTTCTACATCAATAAATGTATTATTTTATATAATACTATATTTTTATATTATATACCATTTTATATAATCCCTCCGTCCACAAAAAAAGTATACAATTACTTTTGTCACAGTGTTTAAGAAAATAATAGTATTTTAATTATAGTGGGTAGTTAAAAGTAGTGTAATAACATTTTTGCCCTTGCTTTTTAGTGTAAAAGTAATGATGTGATGTAAAGTAGGGGTATTTGTGGAAAAAAGTAAGGTATTTAATGAAATGTTTACTTTGTAATTCGACGTCCCAAAATAGAAACATGTATACTTTCTATCTGAACGGAGGAAATATAATAAAATAATTTTAAATATAAAAATTATATTTTATAAATACTTTTGTATTTCTTATATTTTTAATTAAAAAATATTTTTATTTATATAGATATAAATAATTTATAAAATAATATTTAATAATAGCAATAATATAATATAAAATAATAGATAAAATACTATTATTATATATATAATAGCTCCGTTCACCAAATATTTTTATATAAAATAGTTTAATGTCTGACACGAAAAAATTATGTAAAAAATATAAAATATATATTATTTTAGATTTTAATAGTTGAATTTTTGTTTTATAGTGAGTATTTAAAAAATTTTGACCTTTTGATTTTTATTATCATTTTTGAAAAGTAAAAATTAAAAAATAATGTTAAAAGGAAAAAAAACGATTATTGTATTTTAATACTTCTTCCATTTTATTGAAGTATTGTTATTTTTAATTTTTGTCTGTCTCAAAATAAAATTAGCATTTTCTAATTCAGTAATTATATCACCTATCTAACATAATAAATATCCTTCAAACTTATAGTATATTACACAAATGTAATTATTTTTATAATATATAGTACTAATAGGGATATTTTAATTTTTTTTTAACACAATTCAATATAATAATTTTAAAAAATATACATGCAAAAAGTAAACATCATTATTTCAATGGGACGGAAGATGTATAATTTACCGTTATTATAAATATATTAATTTTTTAAAAAATAAATAAATCATTAGAAGATTTTTATTAGTTCTTAGGCCATCTCCAGCGGGACTGCAATTTTGACGTTGCAGCCCCGTAAATGGAGATTTTACTCTCCAACCCTGTGGTATTTTCCACACAAAAAATGATGTTTGCTACATTGTACTATAGTAACTTTATTTTTATAGCATTGTGTATTTTTTTAAAAATTTGTATATTAATTAATTTATTTTTTTAAAATTTTTTTTAAAAAAAATATCAATTTTAGATATAAAAAGTGGTTTGAAATAATATATAAAATAGAATATTTGAAGAATATTATTTTTGAAGTAAAAAATAGAGTTGTGGGTTACAGTATAGCAACTGCATTTTTAGAATTATAATGACATAAATAAAATTATCCGATTGAATATGGTCTCAAGGGTAGTATATTCGTTTATGAGATTTCAACATGATTTTGCTGTGGTTTTACTGTTTAAATTGTTACCCAACAAATCCTAAAAACCCTACTTTTAATTCTACCATATTAGTATTATAAGACGCTAATGAAAGTATTTTTGTAATTTTTTTTTTAATATACTACGTTTTAATATAATAATTAATACTAAAAAATCAATATAAAAAAAAATAAAACCCTTAGAACTAGATAAATTTAATATAACAATAATGGTGAAAGTACCCAAGCAGGGGAAAGAAATCAAAAAAGAAAACCAAACAAACTCACCGGCGGTGGCGGACTTCGTCTCCGAAAGAATGGTGCCGGCACAATGTAAAAGAAGGGGGAAGTTAGGGTGTGATTGCATCTCATTTTTCTAAAAAAATAAAAAACATCAAATCAAATATTTATTTTCTATTTTTTATATTATATTAAAAAATTAATTTTATATTCAAAATATCACATCAATATCAATTTATATCATATTATACAAATATTTAAATTTAAAATTTTTACTATTTAAATTTCTAACTCAAAATTCTACCGCAAACAAACACACCCTTGAAAGGAAAAAAATAAAAAAAAGACAGCAGACAAAGAAGAGAGGAAGGAAGAAATGGGAAGAAAGGAGATACGGGCGGTATGGAGTGCGTTAGAATTAGAGCTTATATATATATATATGTCAAATTAATATATTTATATTTATTAATTATATCTTTTTAAAAGTATTTAAATATAAAAATATTCAAATTATTATATCAATATATTCATTTATTAATAACTTAATAATTTTTTTAATATAATTATTACAAAATTTAAATTCTCAAATAAACACAATTTAAAAATTTTTATTTTAAAATTTTCAAAAATTTAAATTTAAAATTCAAATACCAAATAAACATACCCAAAATATTTTATAAATTACATTATTTTATTAAATATATTTAAATTATATATTAATTTTCTCTCTCCTACTTGGAGGAGAGAGAACTATGGTTACTATGCATTGTAAATGCTCTTAGTTCCCCTCATTATTTTCATACAGGGTGTATTTGTTTTGGTTGTTTGGATTTTGAGTTGAGATTTGAACAGTAAAGATGTTGAATTTGAATAGTTGTATGATGTGATATAAATAGGTGTTGATGTGATATTTTGAATGTAAAATTAATTTTTAGTATAATATAAAAAATAAAAAATAGATGTTTGATTTGAAAAAAAATGAAATGAATAATAGAATTTTATCAAAATCCTACCAAAGAACACACCCTAGGAGTACTCAAACAGTAAATTTGGGGAAATAGGGGCTAAAGAAACATGCTCTTAAAGTTTTGAGTTGAAAGTTTTT